CGTTTTGCAGGAGGCACCTTTTGCAATTTTCTGTTGTCGGAGGAGGCCGCAGAAAAATCTGAAATTTTGAGAATCCATAGATGAGGTTGTGTTCTTTCCAGGAAAAATATTATAACATTTTCAAAAAATCATTTAGACAGCAAAATAATCGTCGTGCAGATTCGGCACATTTTCCATTTTTGCCACTCAGCCATGAGTGGGCCAACTGAAAAAGTACTCCAAATTCAGTGAGTTTTCGCGCTCAGAAGAATGCGTGAAAAATCTGAAAATTGGAGTACTCATAGATTTCATCGTGATCTTTCCAGGAAAAACGTTAAAAATATTTTTTAAAATCATTCCAATTGTGAAATAGATTGCGGCCGCAATTTGACCCATATGTCAATTTTGCCATTCAGCCCCCCTCTCTCTCTCTCTCTCTCTCTCTCTCTCTCTCTCTCTCTCTCTCTCTCTCTCTCTCTCTCTCTCTCTCTCTTGCGCGCGCACGCGCACGCGCGCGCGCACGCTCGCGTATTCATGCTCATGGTCTCATTGCTTTGCCTACCTTAGGGCTGCGTTCCCCGCGCCCATGCGGTAGACAATTTTATTATTACTATTTTATCTTTTTTGGGAGGGGGAACGGGGGCCGTATGACAGGAAGATGGGGATATGGCAAGGAGAGGGGGATACGGAGAGGAGGAGGAGGATGTGGACGAGGAGGACGACGAGGATAGCGAGGACGAGGAGGAGGAGTCAAGATGGGGGAGGAGAAGAGATGGACGGAGGGAAAAGAGGAAGGGCAGAAGGAGGACGATGAGTGGCAGGAGGAGGAGACATGGACGGCGAGGAAGGGAAGGACACGAGGAAGGGAAGGAGACGAGGAGGCATGGAAGATGAGGAAGTTTGAGGAGAAGGAGGAGACAAGGAGGATGAGGAAGGGCAGGAGGAGGAGGACGGACAGGAGGAGGAGGAGGAGGAGACGAAAAGGAGAAGGGAGGAGGAGACATGGTGGATGAGGAAGGGGAGGAGGAGCAAGGTGAGGCAGTACTCCTGTAATTTTTTTTTTCATCTCGCTTATAATTTTGGCGGGGGGCCTCAAACGCACCGTTTCAACCCCGACTGTTTTTTTTTCTTCTGAGGGCGGTGACGGGTCGCTCTCCGCACATGTCGTGCGCCGCACGGGATTGGTTGGTGCATGCGCCACACGTAGGGAACCGCCCACACGTTGTACACTTGCATGTATGGCGTAAAGTGAGTTGCAAGAAGTCCCCAGAATCCTAAAGCATTCTCAAGACCACCAGAAGTAACCGAGAACAGCAAACTTACTAATGAATAAAGTAAACCAATTGGGATAATATGGAAGCCGATATAACCAAAACCACCTTAACCTAGTGCTATTCAACCGGCCCGCCTACAGCTGCCTCAACCCTCCAGTCGTAGATACCAAGCTCTACCAGGCCTCACACCCCTGACCGCTGGGTTACAGGGCGGCACTACCGTGTGTATCTTTCCCTGTTCTGCTTCCTGTAGATTCAAAACACAAAACAAAAACAAGTTTGGATCTCTCCCCAGCCAGGGGGGTAGGTTTGCAACTTTGCACCATGTGGCTGGTGCAATAGCAAGGCGGTATCAACCCCTCGTCATAGTGATGGGAGTGGGGGACACCAGGGTGCTAGTGCCGAGCACTACGGCCAGTCACTGCACCTCCCCCTACCCCCCCCAACCCAACATTTGCGGTGTCTAATCGCCAATATCTCTGCTGCAGAGCAACCAACAGTACTGGCCAAGGTCCTGCCAATGCTGGCTTGGGGGCCAACTTGGGCTAGGCACGTACGTGAGGCCGATGGGAGATGAATCCGACTTTTCTGCCTTACTAACTGAGCTAGGCATGCAGGCGCATCCGAAACTTGTGTGTTTCGCCTTCCTCACAAAGTTCGCCGCAGCACTCAGGCTGATTCGTCTTATATCTTTTGCAATACATCGTGCTGGGCTGCGGGCATGACCACGGCCCGCTGTCATGACTGCAGCGGACGCGGCTGAAATCGGCCCGCTGCGGCCAAGGGGAGGGGGGTCCTGCCAATCAGGGTTGGGATTCG